TCCTCATAGCAATTCCAGTCTACACAGAGGTTAACAAAACAATGTACAAATTAGTAAATGAAGTTTTCAAGGACAACAGTAACAAAAGCTGGAGTACTTGCAAAAAAAAAGACACTCCAAAGTTATAAATACTGTAAGATCCATGAACTCACCATTGTCAAATGATCAGCAGGACATTTCTATTTTTCTGCTGCTAGAGTTGAATTCATCAGGTCCCACATCATTTCAATTCCAGTCTACAAAGAGGTTAACAAAACAGTACAAGTGTAAATTTGAAGTTCTTCAACAGTGCTACAGAGTACATGACTACGTGCAATAATTTTGCAATAATTTTGCAACACTTTTCAATCACATTTGTTGTGACCATAAATGTATTAAGGAACAACTTTCTGCAAAGCTTTAAAACATTTAGGAAGACTCTGAACCTCCTCAGAATTTTTTTTTATCTTAGCCAAAAAAATGTCTCTGATCAAACTTCAGTAAATGATGAAAATATGCAGGTTACTAAACTTGTTCATCAGTAATACATGTAGGTCTTTAGAACTAAAATCAAGGGAGTTTTAAATAGAATAATTTATACCATTGCCATGGTAACACTTAATGCAAAGAAAATGACCAAAACAAAGACAAAGCTGGTTTTTGCAAATTTTCTTATATTAATTAAACAACACTAACAGGGATTGACATTTAAAAATTTCTTGTCACACATTGTTTGGTTATTTTTTAATATAAAATGCTTGACCATAACAGCTGAATGAATTTGCATTTCCAGACAAAGGTTTATACTATTAGTAAGAACAGTATCTACATGTACACTGTATCATCCTGATACCTTTTATTTTAGCCTGGTTGCAAGGTGCAATTGAGAATTTGTCCATTTACATGTAAGGTTTCTCAGGAAGATAATTTTCTGAATTAACCATGATACTTACTAGTGATATCTACTTTTGCTCTTTCGTATGCATCATGTGCAAAATCCAAGAGACTTTATTAAGAACCCCAGGGAAATAAAAACACAAGGGCAAGAAGGGTAACACAAAATTTCAATTATTACAAGTTATCCCTTTCCCCTGGCAACTAAATTTTAGACTTAATAGCACAATACTAATGTATTCAAAAAATTTACAATGCTATTTGTATCTGATGGTAAATGTTTAGAGGAAGATGTGCACACCTTCACACAGAAAAGTGATATTTATTCCAATGGGTATCATTATCTGAATATATACCTACCTACCTACCTACCTACCTACCTACCTACCTACATACTTTATTGTTACCTCCCCAATGGGGCTTTTCAGGATACTATATATATATATATATATATATATATATAT